CTTTCCTGTGCTGTCTCAGAACCGGGCCACAAAAGGCTAAAAGCCAGTTAACCTTGATCTCAAATTAAGAAGTCGTTAGCGTTCTCAACATTTAACTCCGAAAGAAACACCTCCTTTCTTCCTTCTTGAAGTAATTTAATTTTCACATTATACTTTAAGGGATATCCTCTATTTACCTAATGCTTTCCTGTTCAGTCATTTCAGACTATGAATCTTGTATATTTTATATACACAAAGGTGACTTTTCCTTCCTTGAATGACCAACGCTTATCAGCACAAGCAACCGATACTGAGCTCATAAATATGTCACTTGGAGTTCAGTCTCTGCCCTTCTCTTTTCTAAGAGTAATTCTCATATGACACTTTTTCACCCCCTTTCTTTTCCTAACCTTGTGGAGACTGCACTTGTGCCCCCGAAGCACCCTTGGAGTCTGTTTTGGTTTCACTCCCCACTGGCATATATAAAAATGAGTGACCGATGCTTACACACCAAAGTCATTTCAGCAGGAGTCTGCAGACAATATAAAACAAGGCCCGTGGAGCCAGCGCCTTCCGATTCCAATTAAATATTTCCTGTAAGCCTGTGCCAATTGTGCATCTTGTAAGAACATTTGAAAGCAGAAGTTTGAACTCACAGGGACCCCGTTGCCTTAAAAACCTGTTTCCTGTTTGACAAGATTTTACTAGTAGGAGCAAAGTAGCACATTCAGCAAGAAAAGTCATTGTTAGTGGCTGAGATGTGCAAAGGTGGTGGTTTCCTCTCCCGAGTGCCCCCCGGCATAGCCTCACTAGGTTGCAGATTTCTTTCTTTCAGATACATCTTTCTGAATATTTGAACCCTATTCCAAAGGGCCCTAATGACATTTCCAGGGTTAGAGAAAATATTTGCTTATCTCCCTATCTGCACATCCTACCTCTCGCTTTCTGGTGAAGTTTGAAAAAAAAAAAATTAAAAAAAAGTTTTTTTTAATGTTTACTTCTGAGAGAGACAGAACGCAAGCAGGGGAAGGGCAGAGAGAGACACACAGAATCCGAAGGAGGCTCCAGGTTCTGAGCTATCAGTCCAGAGCCCAACGTGGGGCTGAAACCCATGAACCATGAGATCATGACCTGAGCCAAAGTCGGACGCTTAGCCGACTGAGCCACCCAGGCCCCCCACCCAAAAAAATTTTTTTTAACATTTTTTTTACTTTTGAGAGACAGAGAGACAGATCATGAACAGGGGAGGGGCAGAGAGAGAGGGAGACACAGAATCCGAAGCAGGCTCCGGGCTCTGAGCTGTCAGCACAGAGCCCAATGTGGGGCTCGAACCTGCGAACCGTAAGATTCATGACCTGAGCCGATGTCAGACGCTTAACCAACTAAGACACCCAGGCGCCCCTATCTGATAAAGTTTGAAAAGCTTTCAAGACAACCCTTTAGATGTTATTGACTCCATTTTACAGATTAGAAGACTGGGTTCATATGTTATTAAGTTTTGTATAGACCATTGTAGATTAGCAGGGACTAGGTGTTCAAGGTGCCTCTTGTGTTACCACTTTGCACAAGTTACAAAAATGCTTGCTGTCTCAGTTTTCCAATCCATAAAATAGGGTAAATGGCAGCACGAATTTGACATCACAGATTTGAAATGCCTCTTTTTTTTTTTAATGTTTATTTATTTTGAGAGAGAGAGAGAGAGAGAGAGTGCAAGCAGGGGAGGGGCGGAGAGAGAGAGGGAGAGAGAGAATCTCAAGCCAGTTCTGCTCTGTCAGCACAGAGCCTGACACGGGGCTCGATCTCAGGAACCATGAGATCATGACCTGAGCTGAAATCAAGAGTCGGAAGCTTAACTGACTGAGCCACCCACTTGTTCTTGAAATGGTTGTAAGTCGTTCCCCAGAAAGTCACTACAATAATCACAAAGTAGTATTATTATTGGAGTATCATTATCATCATTAAAAAACATTTTTTTTACAATGGAAACTCAAATTACTCCATTACCTGGCCCTAGCTAGCCTGGTAGCCTACCAGCCTTTTTTCCAGCCGTAATTCCCTCCTGTCGTACCCCAGTCACCCACACATACCCATACCTTATACCCTTTCTTCAAACTTTGTCCTCTGGGTCTCTTCCCACATGATCCCTTCTACCTGGAACCCTCACGACTGCTTCTGTGAAGCCTTCCCAGCTCACTTGGGGATCAGGCTGGTGCAATACAGAGTTGGTACCACAATCAGAGAGCCACGCATTTGAAGCTTCGTGTATTATCAATGTGGTTTAGGCAACTTACGTGGGTTCCCCCAGTCTCCGTGCTCATCTCTAAGATGGGCTAACACCCTTTACCTCACAATATTACTAAGACTCAATGAGATAACGCATGCAACACCCAGGGCACGGGACAGGCACAGAATACCCCTGAGCCCCTACCTCCTACCCCTCAAGTAAAATTCCTCTTTCCCTCTCTTGGGCTGTGAATGTGCTTTGCTTGTATTTCTTTTATAATAGGCACCAAATCCTGCCTTGAGCTATTGTCCCTAGTGACGTCTCTGCTGCTCACATGAAATTGTGGGCAGGTCCTTTGAGATCCAGGAAGATACTGATTTATTTTTCTGTCCACCACTGTCCTTACCTCACAGTGAGTCCTCAGTGCCACTGATGGAACTCCAGAAATGTTATCAACTGGTTCCCCTGGACCTGCTTGCATTGTGGTGTGGGCCAGTGACTAACACTCATGGCTAATTTGCAGAGCATGGAAAACCGAGCCAAAGAGGGATAAAGTGAGTCAGACAAGAGGCCTGAACTTTCCAGAGCTCATTCATAGGCTCTGCCTCCAAACTATCTTCTTTTACCACAACAGCTTTGCAGAAATTTAAACACTTGAACTTTCCTCTCGACCATATGAGTAAAATTTGATAAAGTAAGATACAAACATTCATTTAACAAATATGTAATATCAATATTTTTAATGGGTACGTACTACATTCTAGGCATCTAGACCTCTTACGCACATGATATTAATCTCATGGAAATCCTGAGAGGTGGTATTTCCCCCCCCCCATTCTACAGCACAACGATGCTTAGACAGTACTTGTGATATCCTGTGCTAGGTTCTAGAGGTATCCATTGGTGAACATCAAGCTTCTGTTTGTTAAGATCACAACATACTGTCAGAGACAGGCAAACAAATCATCGAATGCGTTAGAAGGTACACACACTAAGCTATAAAGTGGGGACCCAGAAGGGAGAATAGTTGACATTGGGAATGAGAAATTATCAGGAAAACGGGCACTATTTGAACGGATCCCGAAGGATGAGCATTCGGGGGGCAGATAAGGGGGAAACGGCAATTCTAGGAATAGGGAACAGTATGGTGAAAGTCAAGAAAGAAAGAACAGCATCTATTTCAGCTACAGTGGAAAGAGGATGTGAAAGTTAGCCTGGGGCAGGAGGACGGGCCTGGTCAAAGAGCTTGGCCTTTTTCCTGTAGGCACTGGGCAGCCATTGAGGCTTGTACACAGGAGGAATGACTCTGGTGTCTTCAGACGATTGCTTAGGTAGCCTTGGAGTTGGAGGAGACAGTGAAGATAACCTGAGCATGTTAGCTACGAAGTTATATCAATGTTGAAAGTTATTCTAATGAAAATGTGTATGAGTTACTATCATTATTATGCCTGGGTATTAGCAAAATTAAGCTTTTCCTATTTCAGTGCTTATTTCTTCTTTGGATAAAATTGAGAGGAAATATGCTATATTCCAAAACACTCTTTTATAGGGACAAAAGATCTTGAAGAAGTTTCATTTTGTGGGGGGGAAATGGGTGATGGGCATTTGAGGAGGGCACTTGTTGGGATGAGCACTGGGTACTGTAAGTAAGCAGTGAATCATGGGAATTTACCCCCAAAGCCAAGAGCACACTGTATACACTGTATGTTAGCCAACTTGACAATAAATTATATTAAAAAAAAAAAAGAAGTTTCATTTTGTGGAATGTTCTGGCCCACAGGATGGTAACTGTTAATCTTTTTTTTAAATGTTTATTTATTTTTGAGAGACAGAGTGCAAGTGGGGGAGGGGCAGAGAGAGAGGGAGACACAGAATCCAAGGCAGGCTCCAAGCTCTGAGCTCTGAGCTGTCAGCACAGAGCCTGGTGTGGGGCTTGAACTCATGCATAGTGAGATCATCTCACTAAGAGTCTGAGCCAAAGTCAGATGCTTAACTGACTGAGCCACCCAGCAGCCCTGGTAATTGTTAGATTGTATTTCTTTCATCAGTGGGAAAACAGTTAGTCTGAAGGTGTCTCTCAGGACACTTTCCCTGGCATTTTCTTTCCAGCGCTGGCCATCCCCAGCACCACGGCAGACACAATTTTTGTAGCATCCGATCTTCTTGGCCCAGTCCCCTTCACCCAAAATGAACAAAATCTCTAGACACACATTGCATATGTATTTATATATTTTTAAGCGGGGATGGGCAAGAACATGTAGGATATGGGGAAAGATAATCCAGAAACTTTCAGAGAGCCCAAAGTTTCCAAAGATTTCCCTGTGCTGGCTGCTCAATTTCTGTCAAGCAAAGTCCTGAGCTGCAGAGCTCTGGGTCTGCAGCCCATGCAGCTCTTGGCTTGGCCCCAGGGAGGCCCCGGGGCTCCTGCCCCTATTGCTCCCTTGTAGCTGCCTCATGTGACCAATCCTGCACCGGAAATGTCCTTGAACACCTTCTCTTTCTTTCTTTCTTTCTCTCTGTTTCTTTCTCTCTCTCTCGTTCTCTCTCTTCCTTTCTTTCTCTTTTGTTTCTTTCTCTCTCTTTCTTTCTTTCTTTCTTTCTCTTTTCTTTCTTTCTCTTTTCTTTCTTTCTGTCTCTCTCTATTTCTTTCTTTCTCGTTCTTTCTTTCTTCCTTTCTTTCTCTCTTCCTTTCTCTCTTTGTTTCTTTCTCTCTTTCTTCCTTTCTTTCTCTTTTCTTCCTTTCTTTCTCTTTTTTTCTTTCTTTCTTCTTTTCCTTCCTTCTCTTTCTTTCTTTCTGTCTGTCTGTCTTTCTTTCTCTCCTTCTTTCTTAACAACACCTGACTAATCTCATGTGAGATGTTCTCAATGAAGTGAGCTCACCAACAGATGGTGCTGCTGGGACCCATCCTGGTACAAACAACATCTTCATCCCTTGGCAGGGCTGGCTCCTCCTGGCTTTCCATACCAGGCTTTTCTCATTCCTTCCATTTTCAGGCAATGGAGCTCTTGCAGTGGCCTATAAGGGAGGCCACTGTGTGCATTAGGGCAAGTGTTTGCTGGGAATTTGAGTCTCCCACTGTCACCTGGGTGGGTCATGCTTCCTCTGTGGCCCCCACCTGCAAACCCCACTTTCCCCATGTATGACCTGCACAGGCCGTCGTGAAGTTCTACAGGCTTCTCCCAAGATCACCCGCGTTAGCTCTGGGTCAGTGGAGCTTCCTGCACCTTGGAATTCTGCCCTGCAGTCTGGCGTCGGAAGCTTACGCATCTTATGGTGGTAGGCAGATCTGACACAGGCCTGCTAACCCCTTCACATGGTGAAGAAGGCCTTTAGGGTGAGTGGCGACTGGGCTGAATGTTGCCCAGGTGTGGTTCCTGTGGAAGCGGTGAGTCACAGCCCTGGTTGCTGGTCTGCTCCTTCATACATCTGCCTCTGGAGGCATCTCACTTCCTCCTGAAATGGAGAGAGAGGAAAGCCCCAGATGCTGGGGCATAAACTGCTTTGGCGCTGCCTAGTTACTTCATCTTCCTCAACTCACATTGCCTTTCACCAACTACCACCATTACCACTGGAATCACCTAGAGAACAGAGGAAGGAAACAGGGGAAGGCATACGTGTGCCATCACATCAGGTGCCGGATCCGCTCGGGAAAGTTTAGAGATAGTTCAAGGAAACAACAATAGTTCAAAGTTCAAAGTTCAGGGAGCCTGAACCCAGTTCATGGGTTGGGTGGAAGGAGGAGGTGTGGGGTGGGAGAGCCATGGATGCTGGTGTCAGGCACATGTACACTGGGATTCTGGCTTTCCTACTAATGAACCCTGTGGCCTTGCCTGTTACTTGAGCTCTCTGAGGCTCAGTTTCCTCATCTGTAAAGGGAGAGGCACAGTGTTTTCCTCACAGATGTGCAGTAAAGATGAGACGTGATGGTGAATATAAGGCACCAGGTTCTTCTGTCACCGGCCCTGGCTCCAAGTCAGCCAGCACCTTCCAGAGCTGGGTCAAGACTGTCAGGAAAGCTCCAACCACCTGCGGACACACCAGAGCTTTAGGAGGCTGAAGGGACTTCCCAGTATCTGGTGAACTCCCTGCATTCAGCAGGTGCCCAAGGTAACCTGTGAAGGGGAGCCAGGAGCCTGTTCGAAGGGGACCCCAAAGGCAGGGTAGGAGAGTGGAGCAGACCACGCTGGCCCGGGCGAGAAGGAGCCACTTGTGTGACAGTGCCATTTCCACTGATGCCTTTTTACCCTCCTCTGTAAGATGAAACTTCAGAATAATTATTCTAGTCTTCCTTCAGACTTCATTTTTCTAGATCTGAGAGTCCTTCTTATCAACCTCGGTGCCTTATTTTGGATGACATTTCTTAAGCTTTTAAATGTCTAGAATTATAGACGTAATGATAGACATTTAAATGACAGAAATAGGGGTGGCTGGGTGGCTCAGTCGGTTAAGTGTCCAACTTCGGCTCAGGTCATGATCTCGCAGTCCATGAGTTCGAGCCCCGCGTCGGGCTCTGTGCTGACAGCTCAGAGCCTGGAGCCTGCTTCGGATCCTGTGTCTCCCTCTCTCTCTGACCCTCCCCGTTCATGCTGTCTCTCTCTGTCTCAAAAATAAATAAACATTAAAACAATTTTTAAAAATAAATAAATGATAGAAATAATGATAGACATAAATGATAGACATATCACGATATGTCTATTTAAATGATAGACATATCACGATATATCTATTTAAATGATAGACATAAATGTGTGTGTAAATTAAAATGATTTTTAGCTAGAAAAATGAAGTCCAGTTGACTGAATAAGGAAAATACCCAACATTGCATTAGATAACTCATTTGATTTCTTGGGAGCCATATTTGCTCAAGAGCAAAGCATTAGTCATTGCTTAATTTTAATATTTTTCATAAAAGACATTAAAATTGTAAGCCAATGAGCTATAAATCATTAAAATTTTTTAATGTTTATTTATTTTTGAGAGACAGAGAGAGAGAGAGAGAGAGAACAAGCCAGCATGAGTGGGGAAAGGGGCAGAGAGAGATGGAGACACAGAATCTGAAGCAGGCTCCAGGCTCTGAGCTGTCAGCACAGAGCCTGGCACAGGGCTCGAACTCATGAACCACAAGATCATGACCTGGGTGGAAGTCTAGACCTTTAACTGACTGAGCCACCCAGGCACCCCAACTATAAATCGTGTTTTAAATTAACAACAACAATAACAACAAAACCATTGCAACGCTCTGATTGTGTAACAGAGAAGGCAACTTAATACACATTCAAAATATGGCACAAAAACACTGAAGATAAGATGTGGATTCAAGACGGCAAAATGAAGATGTTTTTGCCCACTTTAGATTTTGGAGAGATACATTTACGTTAAACATTTCAATGAGCCTGGAGAAAGGACATTTTCTGAAGTTATTATTGAAATTTTATTTAAATACGGGTACCTGGTTGGCTTGGCCGGTTAAACGTCCAACTTAGCTCAGGTCATGATCTCACGGTTCATGAGTTCAAGCCCTGCGTCGAGTTCTGTGCTGACAGCTTAGAGCCTGGAGCCTGCTTCGGATTCTGTGTCTCCCTCTCTCTCTGCCCCTCCCCTGCTCACACTCTGTCTCTCTCTCTCAAAAATAAACTTTAAAAAAATTATTAAATTTTTATGTAAATATTAGAGATTGATGTATCTCATTTTTGCCATCTACTCTATCTGTTGATTATTCCAGCATTACTTCTAGTTCACTTGTGGCTCTGTGGAATTTCAAGCAGACATCTGGTTCTTCTGGTGAACATGCACCTGTCCCCAACTCAGGGTGAATTCCAGGGTCCTCACTTGATCTTCCATTGGCAGTTCCCTACTTCTGTGAGCTTGGCTTGCCTGCCCTTTCCCTGCTTGCTCTTGTTCTGTTAGGATCCTACCTTTCACTGACTCAGGATACTCACTTGCACCATGGAAGGAGGTAATGCAGTGGCTCAGGCCCAGCCATCAAGAGTATGGCCTTCATGAAAGATATGTGTCCCCAAATTGAAACCAGGCACTCCCTCTACTGTCACCCTAAGAACCCTCACATCATAAGGATCAGTGGGGTCTTCATCAAGGGAGGTGGAATGGGTGGGCTTCTTCTGGTTGTGGGGGAGTGACAGGAGCAGTGACGGAGTGAGAACAGTTACCCTCCTCCTGTGCCTTCGTGGCCAGCACTTGCCATCAGTACTTGAAAAGTTCCCACCTGGATGAAGACAGCCTTAGCATCTGGACAGCAGAAATCCCCCTCTGAGTTGGAAACTGCTGTCCTCCTGTGCAGAACCCAAGCTCTAAGACAAGGGGAACAGCAGGGTTGCCCAGATCCTACAGGATAGGGATAGACCTTCCAGTGTCAGTGTTTTATCCCTCCATGGATAAGTGTGGTTGTTGTGAGTCTTCAATTCATTGTAAATTTTAATATACTTTTGGCTATATTAAAAGTGCATTCTCACAAAAGTAGAGTTTTGGCCTTTTTTTCATATATTTTTTAAAAAGTTTGTTTGTTTTGAGAGAGAAAGAGCATATGAGCAGGGGAGGGGTACAGAGAGAGGGAGAGAGAGAGAGAGAGGGAGAGAGAGAGAGAGAGAGAGAGAATCCCAAGTAGGCTCTGCAATGGTGGCACAGAGACCAACTTGGGGCTCAAACTCACGAACCATGAGATCATGAACTGAGCCAAAATCAAGAAGTCAGATGCTTAATCAACTGAGCCATGCAGGCACCTGTTGGCTTTTTTTGTCTTTAAGTAGGTTCCGTGCCCAACTTGGGGCTTGAACTCACCACCCTGAGATCAAGAGTCTCATGCTCTACTGACTGAGCCAGCCAGGTACCCGTTGGCATATTTTTTAGTAAACAAATATGGTAGGCTCTTCTGTTACACTTCTAAATACATGTCAGGGATCGTATAAATCAAACTGATTTCTTTTCAGGTATATATTTTCAATGGCTCTATTTCCACTGAGGATTGAAAGGCCCTCACACTGGTGTTAACCGATAGTTAGCATTATATGTGTGCAGGCACCTGCTTTATAAATATATTGGGAATTTCCTCGAAAGTCTGAGATGTGAGGCTGCTGTGCAGGGAGCATTTCCTACACTGTGCTATGGCTTGCCTTGGATGGATGGCTGCCACACTTTATCTAGAGTTATCTGGAACATGTGGGCCTCTTTGATTTATGTGAGTGAATGAAAGAAAACCATTAATATATCTAAACAATAAAGATAGCAGGTGTGACAGCTGAACCCTGTAGTGAGGAGACCAGATTCCTGCAGTTGCCTGCCTGCTATGGCCACACCAGAGGTGCCCTGTACCTACAGGTAACTGGCATCCCCCTGGGTCATCAGGCTACAGCACTCTGGGCATCCAGTCTGAGGGTGGGGAATCTGTTTCCACCAAAGAAGCTCCGAAGGGGCATGCGGCTTTGTGTAAGGCTCATTTCCTTAAGAGACAAATGGCCTCCTTGAGGTCTAATGAATTCAGATTTAGCTGGACTTTTGTCATTAAGTTTGAGTGTGTGGGAGAGATATATGTACATATATGTCACTTGGAGTGACCTATATGGTGACTCTTTCTGCATTTGAAGACCTACCCATAAGGCATCCCCGAAAGGGAAAATTGTGGGGTTCAAATGAATAGGATCCTTGTAAAAGACCTACAACTTATACACACAGAATTATCTCATAGTACTCAGCATCCCGGTCTAGGGGATCAGGGACAGGAGGCAAATGTTCCCGTGCTCGTCCACATCTCTCTGGATTTGTGAGACAGCTTTTCTCCCTTTTGGTCTAAAGTTAACCTGCAACAGAGTTCATCTGTATGAACATATTCATGGGAAACAGGGAGGTGGGTGCCTAATACCCTGTCAGGGACAGCTGCTTCTCTAACATGCTGGCTCCAGGGTCTGGAGTGAGTTTCGGGTAGTGCCTATTTGAATATATTCCAAGCAAAGGGACTGACTTAATGCACTTTCTTCAAAAGCCTTATAGAACGGCGCCTGGGTTGAATGTCCAACCTTGGTCTTGGCTCAGGTCTTGATCTCAGGGTAATGAGTTCAAGGCCCACATTGGGCTTTATGCTGGGCATGGAGCCTACTAAAAAAAAAAAAAAAAAAAAAAAGCTTTATTGATAGACAGGTGTCTATTTGGGAGGGGGAGACTAGTGGTTCTCAACACTGGCTGCCTGTTAGAATCATCTGGAGAGCTCAAAATCTCAGGGATTTTATGGTTTCTTTGATGAATTGAAAACAGAAAAAGATGATTCTAACAGACTATTTCTTTTGGAAACCAACCTCCAACACCTTGCTTACTCTTAATTAATTTACTGGTGTTGACCCAAATAGAAAAGTATCTCACCTCATCCACCTCCCCTATCTGTCACTCACTAAGGAAGAGAAAGGCTTAGGAAGCAGAACTTGGCACTATGCATGCTGGATGACACACAAGCCGATGCAGGATACTCTGGCGAATCAAGAGCGACCCTTCCCTCACCCAGAGATTCTTCCTGCATGGTCCACGGTACTAGGATTTCTACACCATCTCATGTCCCAATCTGTACACCTGTTTCCAGTCACTTCAGTAGAAAAGAAAGTCAAGAGGAAAACAGCCCCTTTCTCTTGCAAGAGGCATCTAAGTAACTGTACTTAGCAACAAAGACCAAAAACCCCACCACACCCTGAAGTGTTTCAAAGAAGAGGGTCAAATTCTCCCGGTGATGAAGATTGCATCCTGGCTGAGAAAGAATCTCCAGGGATGGACGGCTGGAGAATCAGAAGAGGTGGGAACTAGGGACTTATTTGTTCTTCTCGATGGCGCATCTTTCAGTGGGTTCAGCTTGTGCTTCTGTAGAGCAAGACACAAGAAAAAAGAAGGGGAGGGGAAGTTAAGTCTTGAGAGAACCAGAGACTCAAGCAATTACTTTTTGTTGTTGACGTTGCAGGTTGTTTCTTTCACGGTTAGTCCATAAAATAAAATAGGAAATTAAACCCTTATTCTGCTGCTTTTCTGAGCAGCCTGGGAAGGAAGAGCCCAGATGGAATATATGGGGAAACTCTCAGATGGGTTTGGGTCTTCAGAGTGTGTTTTTCCTCCAAAACATATCTGTTGTTGCCCCTCTAAGTAACTGTATATAGTTTGACAGATGTCTCGGTGGCAATGTTGTAAAGGAAAACCAGAGACACAAACTGCCTTAGCTTAATTGCTGCCAGCATTGACGTCACTTAGAGTATAGGGCATTTAGGAGAATCTTAGAGTCACACAGAGGACACTGTCACACCCTGTCATTGAGGGCTGGCTGCGCTAGATCAGCGACAAGGTTTGATCTTGTCACGGTTACAGAAATGTTGTAAAAGGTAAAACAAATTAAAAACAAAACCACACTTCAGAGTGGACGTTAGTAAGGAATATAAAAGGGTGGCAAAGTCACCATGGTCATGTGACTTCCAGCTTCCGAAGTCTGTGCTGGTGCTTTGTGAGTATTTAGGTAGGAAGGAAGGGTTTGGTCAGGCTGGAGGGGAGACTAGAGGAAAGGGGTGGGGGAGCTGTTCGTTGCGCTGGGAATGTGAGAGGGGGCATGGCCAGAACCTCCTAGGCTGGGGCTGGAGAGCCAGGGCAAGATCCAGGTAACTGTGCACGTTGTGTATCCCTGAAACATGAGTACAGTCCTTCAGGGAGGGTGTTCATGCCTTTAACTGTGCTAGGCAGGACCCAGGCCCTTTTGGGCTATCCTGTACCCTGAATCCTTCCCAAATACTTTCCAGGGTCATAAACAAACACTTTCAAAGAGCAGTTCACCTATTTGGGGGACAACGCTGAACTTTGATCTGACCCTTTAAACATGGAAGTTTTAAGAAATGTATTAGTATGATCATAGATGCATGGGGAAGGTAAACTTAAGTCTCCATGCATCATCCAAAGGTGTCTCGTGTTGCCTGTTTTACAGTTGGAAACTCTATAGATTTACATGGTTGGGAAAGATAAAAATGAGATCTTTGAATGTCTTTTGAGTATTTGCGGGGTGGGAAGGGAAAACAGAACTAAACAGAATTAGTATATTTCTTCACAGGTACCTGCAGTTTCCAAAAACACTTCATGTCACATTAAAAAAAAAAAAAGAATTTTCCAGGTCAAGAATATGTTCCCAGAGTTATGAAGTAATGTAGGAAAATAATTGTGTCCCCATAAAACAAATCCATTCAAAAGAAGACATAAAAATACCCTCTAGGAATGGCGAAGGAAGGAAGTTGTGCCTTGTGTCCAAGCACAAATGGGTGAGGTTGACGTTAGTAAAAATCACTCCCAATGGAACAGTGCAGCTCACCACACATCCAAATCGTTTTCATTTCCACTGGTTTCCTCCTCAGTAATCGGATCTTCTAATTCACGTTCAGAAAAGAATACTGAAAGTAGACTTGCATCTATATTCTTTTAAATTCATGGTCCCAACATGAATATATAAATATATAAAGATAATAGTTTGATCCAGTGTCCTGACAGGTGTTTCAAGTTTGACCAGGAGAGTTCTCACCTACCAGACTGCCACCTGCTTTAAGTCCTTCTGATCCCAAGAAAGACACAGTAACTCACAGGCTTGCTAAAGCGCCCTGTGTCATGTCACATCAGGTAAGTGATGATCCAGTAGGTGCCTGCTCTTTAGACAAGTGGGGAAAGGTGAGGAGCACACAACTCCCCGTAGACAATTTGCCTTCAAGGCTCTCTCTTCCATCCACAGTATTATCTCCTGAGCACTTCCCAGTGGAATTTTAGGAATCCTCTATTTATAATCCTCTAATAATAAGAACAGAAACTCCTTCTTCATTTCAATGATAAAATCAAATTTGTTTCCCAGATTTTGTCCCTTCTGCTTTATCATCATCATTAGTATTTAATGGTTTCATCATTGGACTCTACTATAATTATTCTTTAAAAAAAAGTTTTATTATTTTACAATTATAAATAAAAATGTGGGGAAAGAAGCAAAAATAAGAAGGGGAATGTCACAGATTTTTTCACCAATGGAAAAAAAATGAAATTTGTTTGTTTGTATTTTGAGATTATTTATGCTGTCTTTTTTCCACATAATGATTTTTTGGGAAACCCAATATAGACATAGCATAGAGAGTGAAAAGGCAAGACATTCTTGGGAAAAGATACTTGCAGTAAAGTGACACAAGCCTCTTACCTAGAATATTAAAAAGTTCCTACAAATTAAAAAGAAAAAGACAATCTAATAGAAAAATGGGCAAAAGACTTGAATGGGCATATTGCTAAAAAAGATATTCAAGGGGCCCCTGGCTGGCTCAGTGAGTGGAGCATGTGACTCTTGATCTTCGGGTTGTGAGTTTGAGCCCCACATTGGGTGTAGAGTTTACTTTTTAAGAAAGATATTCAAACGGCTAATAAACATATGGAAAAGAGTTCAAACTCATTATTTATAAGGGGAATGCAAATTAAAACCACAATAACATACCACTACATACTTCCTGGGATAACAAAGATTAAAATGACTGATAGTATCAAATGTTAGTGGGGAGGTAGAGTAACTGGAACTCTCATACGCTTTTCATGACAGTATAAATTGGCACAACACTTTGGAAAACTTTAAGTCAGAATTCACTAAAAATGAACACACATATACCCTACAACCAACAATTTCTCTCCGAGGTATATACCCAATAGAAATGTGTACATTTGTGCAACAAAAGTCATGTATAAGAATTAATGCTTATTGAAGCACCATTTGTAACAGCCTAAAACTAGAGAGACAAAATGTCCATCAATAGAATAGATTTAAATGCTATACTTACATAAGGGAACACTACACAGCAATCAGAAAGAATTATTGCTAAAGGTAGCAATGTAGATGAATTTACAAATGTAAATTAAGCAAAAAAGAAAGACATCAAGAAGTACAGCTGACCCTTGAACAACACAGGGGTTAGGGGCCCTGACCCCCCATGCAGTGGAAAATCCACCTATGACTTTGAACTCCCCAAAAACTTAACTACTAATAGCCTACTGTTGACAGTCAATTAGCACATATTGTGTATGTTATATGCATTATACACTGTATTCTTACAATAAACTATAGAAAAGAAAATGTTATGAATAAAATCATAAGGAAAAGAAAATACACTTACAGTACTGTACTGTATTTATTGAAGAAAGTCCATGTAGAAGTGGACCCTCACAGTTCAAGCCCATGGTGCTCAAGGGTCGACTGTACATATTCATGGTCCCACTTATATACCTCAGAATTAGGCAAAACTTATTTATGATGATGAAGTTTGCTTATTTTTTTGTGTTGTGGTGACTGAGAGGACCTGAGGGAGCTTTTGGGGTACTGGAAATGTTTGATTTCTTGTTCTGGTGTGTACATGTCGGTGCTCACTTAGAGAAAACTTATTGAGCAATAAATCCATGGTTTTATACTCTTCTGTGTGTGTAAATGTCACTTCATAAAATGCCATTTAACAAAGAAAAAGACACCGTTTTCAAGGTATTCATAAAGAGTTACTTTTTCCCCCTAAGCTGAGTGGGAAAAAAGCAACATTTCAAAATTACCATTTTCTTTTATATGGTATCTGATTTTGAACATATAAAACAAAATTAAAATTAAACATTATAACTAAAACTACATAGTTTTAAGTCTTGTAAAAATATCATATCTCACTTTTTTTTACTTAACATAAAAGAGCATATTTAGTGTTCCTAGAGATTCATCATAAATATAATCTCTAATGTATATTGTTGGATCAAAATTTGTTAACTCTTTTCCTCCTGTAGGACTGGGTAATTTTAAATTTAGGGATATTATTAAAAATGCTACAATGAATATCTTGGTGCATAATTTATTTCTAGAGTTCAAATCATTTGCAGATGTGGAATTACTGGGTTGGAGAGCACAGAGATTTTTAACTCTTAATGTATATTATCAAATTGCTTTTTTTTTTTTTTCAACGTTTATTTATTTTTGGGACAGAGAGAGACAGAGCATGAATGGGGGAGGGGCAGAGAGAGAGGGAGACACAGAATCGGAAACGGGCTCCAGGCTCTGTGCCATCAGTCCAGAGCCCGACGCGGGGCTCGAACTCACGGACCGCGAGATCGTGACCTGGCTGAAGTCGGACGCTTAACCGACTGCGCCACCCAGGCGCCCCTCAAATTGCTTTTTTAAAGGGCTGCTCCAATACACGCTCCAGCGAGATATGATTGTGCTTACTTGATTTAAATTTCACTGATGCTATTTTTTTGTTTCTTTAATCTTTGATAATTTGATTTGTAAAAATGCATCTCATTGAAAAGATCAAAACTTATCCTGAAAATGCTGCATGTGCTGAAAATTTCTCTTTTGCATTTATCTGCATAATAGATTTACCAGCCACGTAAGACTGTTGTTAATGCAAATAATGTTGTCCAGCATTAAAAATGCTTATGTTGACCAGACATTTGAAGAATCATTTCAAACCTTGTTGCCAGTGGTGTCTTAGAAATAAAAAGTATTAGTATTTCAGTATGCATTCTAAAAGATAAGAACTCTTAAAAAAACATAGGCACAGGGGCGCCTGGGTGGCGCAGTCGGTTAAGCGTCCGACTTCAGCCAGGTCACGATCTCGCGGTCCGTGAGTTCGAGCCCCGCGTTGGGCTCTGGGCTGATGGCTCAGAGCCTGGAGCCTGTTTCCGATTCTGTGTCTCCCTCTCTCTCTGCCCCTCGCCCGTTCATGCTCTGTCTCTCTCTGTCCCCAAAAATAAATAAAACGTTGAAAAAAAATATATAGGCACAATAACATAATCATACCTAAAAATATAATTCTTTAATTTCATTAATTATCCAGTCAACATTC